GAGGACTTTCCCTGCCCGGGAGCACCGCGCATGCGTGGTTCCGCCCCCCGCGCCGGCCGAGGCGTAGCTGGAAAGCGGCAGAGACGGAGCAGGCCGACCACCAGCTGGCCCAGCCCAAGGGAGGTAAGGCACCCGCCGAAAAAGGGGGAAAAATGGCGGACAAAAAAATGGCGGACAAAAAAAATGGCGGACAGCCTTGCTTGGCGACCCCCATGAAATGGTCGATCGACCCCAAATGGGGTCCCGACCCACAGGTTGAGAACCACTGGCCTAAGAGGTCTGATAATCTACTTTACATCTTTGGAGAGCTTCTCAAAATGCACGATGTGAAAGTATTATTGCAAAGTACAGTGTGACGTAAGACCCTCAGTTTCCAATGCATTATCAGAAGGCCTTCTAGGAAGTTCTACTTAAAATACTCCCAGTATGGAAACAGGAAAGAGAAACTATTCCATGGCTCTCCTCTTCCCCTCCATGGTTCTCAAAAGCTGGTCTTGAGCAGAACGCACAACTGTTTTCAGACAAAAGACAGCTTGTGATTGCTGAAGGGGAAACTTTCTCCTCAAATCCTACATCTAATTTTAAAATCAAATATAAACACTTTAATGCAGTTGATACGGCTAGTTCTTACGTATTTAATAATTGTATCGTATACATTACTAAAGTTTCCCAATTTCTCAACAACTTGGCTGAAATCTTCTTCCATTGCCTAAAAAAAAAAACATTTTACATTCTTGTAAACTTCCTTAAATTAACCTCCTTAAGCAAACTAAAAGGTGGAACGTACATATAATGACAAAATTATTTTTATACTTATAATCAGAAAGGGAAGAAGAAACATGCACGACTCTGATAAGTCCTAAGAATACAATGAGCCAACAATGTTTAAATTTCTCCTATCCAGATGCTTGGGAAAGATTTAAAAAGTCACGTGAGCAAGACAGTAAAAAAAATAAATTACTTAAGTGTAAAACACATTGTAGATTAATTTTCTGTAAGTAGATTCAAACTGTAAAACCAGTCTGAAAAATAGTGGCCTTTACTGTATCCTTTAGAAAATGCTCGTATGCTGAGAAAATTATGAATGGAAGCAAATCCATTGATGAAACAGAAAATGCTTTCCTAGGGCTTAACACATTAGCAGTATTGAAACTACAAGGTTTTTTTTAACTTAATGAGACTGCAATAAAACAAAAGAGCATGAATCAAAAGTGACTGTCTCCGCTGCTACAATTGTAAATGGCTTTCGGTGTCTTTTTATTCATTTTCTCTGCCTGCCAGGGAAAATAAGAAGTTTTGCATCAACACAGGGTACACCCTGATATTGTTTTACAGTACTTGGCTCTATGTTAAATTTTTAGGTCTGTTTGAGTTTCTTTCATTGAAGAGGGAGGGTAGAAAGAAATAATTAAAGGTGCTTCTCTCATCATTTCCTATAGCTTAAAAGATTTTCAGCATTTTCCATTAAATTGCCACAGAAAGTTCTGAAGTTGTTTTTCAATTCTTTAATTTCATACTCTTATTTATGATGCAGCTGTTATTACTTTTTGCATCAAGACAGTATTTTAGCTCTTCAACTTGCACCAATCTGTCTCTTATAGAGTCTTGTGGGTCAACTGAATATCAACATGCAGAGCCAGGAAAGAAAATGGATTGAATACTTGGACATATGAGCCAGTTCTGATTCGTAGATCTAGTTTTCAGTTTAAGACATTTTGGTATTTGTGGTGGTAGTTCTTTTAAATTCTAAGCAGCAGTCAGCCAATTAAAATTATTTGTGAAAGAAGAAGCTTTTTGTATTCTAATATTCACGGAACACTGAATTGTAATTCAGAAAACATATTAAAACTTATTAGATATAAGTCACATAAAAGGTAACTGCAGCTTGTTGTGCTGTGATTGCCAGTTTGGATTTAAAACAAACACCTGAATACAATTTAAATAAGCAGCATTTTATTTTCAACCAACATACACACTGACTGATTCTCTCTGTAAAGACGAAGAATATGAGAATCCAAAGTAAAACACAAGTCCCCCTCCTCCAATTCTTGGAAATGACCTCGAGAACAGCTCCAAAAAGTCGACATTAAAATATAATTTTTAATTAGAAAGAAGAGACTAGCACTAAATAATTGGGGGCGTTAATTTTAATTGCATTTTAAACTAGAAATAAATTTACTTCACTTCTTGGCTTCACTAGCTTCCTTGCCTAGCTCCAAGTACACCCCTTCCTGAGACCTTAAGCGTTTGTGCACCCTGATACAGAGTAAAGGAATAAAGCTATGTAAGACCTCAGCATTCACGAACCTTAAAGAAAAATAATACTTCACTAATTTTCAGTGTTTCTACCCTTATGAGATCTTTAAATCTGATACTTACACTTCAAATAACTGAAGCAATTTCCTGAATGCTCAAAGCAAATGAAAAGCAGCCATATAAATGTTTAGAGAGCTAACTATATACAAAATGATAAACAGTCAATGCATCCAAAGTTAACACTCTATACAAGAATATAGTGGCTACACATTGTTAGGAAGTAAAGATTCAGGCCAAGGTGCAATTGGTACCAGATGTTTAAGAAAAATCAGCCACTGGATGACTAGGGAGATTGCTTATTCTCTTTATTATTTTCTTTCTTTTTTCTTTTTTAGCAGAATTAAATGTTTTTGATATGTCCCTGTTCCCCATCAACCTCCTCAGTTTTCAGGAGGATTGGTAATTTGCAGAGGGCCAATCCATAAAGCTGAGGTGATGGTGTCTTTGGCAGCTGAACATCATTTGATAGACTCAGTATGAATTTTTTACTTTTACCTAAAGAAGGAGAAACTATTACGAAGTTAGTCCCAATTTGGGAAAATACAATTTGTTTGATTTACTTTACCAAGACCTGTTTATACACTACAGTAAAAGAATAAATCTTTATATTCACAATACCACAATGAAATCACTTGGCATATGTTAACTTGATGGGAGAAGCACAGGATTCCTTGAACAGTTGCAAAGCAACCAATTGATTTAAATGTATTTTCTGCTCCTACTTAATTTACCATGCACAAAAGGTGGAGGAGAAAACTTTTTCCCTTTCCACTCTTTCCATATAAATTAATAAATATGCGCTACAATTAAATGATTACACTTTTTTGCACAGTTTGCATATAGGCTAGCATCATGCCGAGAAAGGTTTGATTCTCTGTAATAAATCACTCCAAAGCTTTAAATATTAAAAGCAAGAATTCCTTTCCACCACGCTGCTGGTTTTTCATCTGCAGTGCTGCTGATCGTTTTTGGAAGCAGAATGCCAGCTGCTCAGATTGGCAGTTCTTGCTAACAACCACATATGCTAAATTATGCATCTCCAACAGGCATTCCTATGCTGGTGGCTTCTTCTACTATATTATACATCTAGCCATAGATGTATTAGAGCTGGATAAAAGAGCAGTACAACAATAACAACGCAGCATCCAACCGGAAATCTCATGTGACGTAGTATCAGTTCTGAAAGGACTCCTTCTCCTCCTCCTTCTGTCTTCCCTCTCTTCTACCAATTACATCCATATCTTACTCCCACCCCTGGACAAAGTATCAATGGCTGAGATTTCTGTATCTGCTACTTTTTCCGATGTGGACTTGGTTCTGGAGGGGAAGTCTTCTCACAGAGTTAACGTTTGAAGACATGCCTTCTGGTTTCCCAAATGCCTCTCAGCATTGAATAAGCAATTAAGAATGATTTATGGCTGCTCAGTTGCTCTTTAGCAGAGTCAATCGCAGGGGAAAAAATTAGGAGTAAGGGCAGAGGGAGGGGCGATTCCCAAATAGTTGGCACAAACCACACATATTTATATATACGCATATACATGTTGCAATCTATATGCCAAGGGCTTGGAATTTTCTGCCTCTGCTTTCACCTTCCTTCATGGTTCAATGCGCTCAGCTGCTATTCCTTGTCGACTAACAGATTCCCTCTTCAGAAAATTTGTTCAAACCTTTTTATGGCTATTTTTCTTGGTCGACTCTTGAGTATTTTATTTCATTATTATTCTGGAGAAAACCCCAAACATAAAAAGGTAAAAGCATATCTAGGTCTTCTCATCACAGTGCATCCCAACACATTACAGAAAGTGGCAGTTATCAAAAGACATTATGTGCAAGAAGTTAAAGTCAATTTGTAGAAATAGACCCAAAGAATTCTATGTTAAATTAGAATAAGACTAGAACAGGGCAGAGCAGAACGGAACAGAACAGAATACTTTATTGGTCAAGTGTGATTAGACACACAAGGAATTTGTCTCCAGTGAATTAGCTTTCAGGGTTCATACAAAATAACAAAGTAATAATTATCATAATAACAATGTAATAATAATCATAATAATTATACCAATAATAGAAGGGAGTGGAACAGATGAAAAGGCTAAAAGTAATACAGCCATACTACATAGGTAAATATAGACATAAAACAGTACTGTGGGAATTAGGTGTTCAGCAGAATGATGGCATGAGGGGGAAAAAAAGTGTCTCCGTGTCTAGTTGTTTTGGCATGCAATGCCAGGGTTTTTGTTTTTTTTCTTGAGAAAAAAATAATCACTAATCACAGAAACAGACTACAGAACCTTGAAAATAAAATGGGTGCCCCTGCAGATATAGCAAGTTTTGAGGACATTAATTCCCATTGTGGCCATTTAAGAAGTTTTCAGACAGATATATTTTATCTATTTGTCTAATAATCATGATTTATCTCTCATATTTTTACAGCAAATGTATGGCAAATATCTGGACAACCCTGAAAAACAGAAGTGAATTTTCTTAACAATACTCATAGGGAAAGCTTCCATGCCGTCTTGCAAAGAAAATGGAATATTGCCTCAAGGACTCTATCAAAAGATTATTCTGCAAAAACTACAGAGCTGCCATAAGACATCCAATGAGAAAGAACTGCAACCCAAACCATGAAAGGTTCTTTTGATTATCCTACTTAATCCCTATTCATAAAGATTCTTGCTTACTGGTTCTCGGCCATCCATTGCTTCCATCCACAGCCTTCGATCCTCTTCAGAAAGTGCCTGCATTGTAATCACTCCAGGCCTGCAGAGATGAATGGAATGATGCCGTGAATAATAGGTTTAAAAACAGGAAATAGGAAAAATAGAAGTGGTAAACCAGGCAAATTCAGCAAAAGCTGCCACAATGCACCTTTCCATGATTCAGACTCAAACTCAAGTGGGACAAAACTACGTACATTAAAAAAAGAGAGACCAAATTAGAATATCATCAATTTTTCTCGCTCTTCACTTCAATAGATCTGTTAGGGTTTAAAAAACAAACATTCCAAGCTACATATTTCAAATATTCATGATTATTCAGATAAAAAAGAATAATCACAATAGGCTGTCAAAACACAGTCACACAATAGAAACTTCATAAAAGAGCAATCAAGGAAAATTCTCACTAATTAAATTGATGGGGTTTGCATTTCTGTCAAAGTCTATCTTCATATTTATATAGATTACATGAGTCAGAGCAGCATCAGAGCTTCCAAATTATCACTACAATCTTCCCTCAAATTGATGTGGCAATCTAACTAATCTACTAAGGAATACACATTTCGATAATAAAAGAAAAGTTGATTTGTTAATCGATTAAATATTTTGATTCAAAGTTAATAATCTACTGCAATTAAGATTCAAAAAATGTTCTTCAAGTTCTTCACTGTATTGGTTGATGGAAAGAAATAAAACAGCTAAAAAACTCATTTATGAAATTGGTAAGAAATGGAAAGTCATCTTGAATAAAATGACTAACACTTTAATATGTTTTAAAAATGAAGCTTCAAAAAACACTGTAAGAGGGAGGTAGATAGCTGCAAGCGATTAAGATCACAACCAATAATTGGAATTATACTCTCATATCAAATGGAACAACATAAGAATTAAATCACAAATAGTTTGTGTTGACAGAGTTGTCTTTTATTATATATATATCAATAGATCTTCTTTACTTCAAAAACTTTGTTATAAGAGAGTATTTGTAAAATACCATTCGTTTCCTGTATTCACCTATACCAATCTTTTTCTACATCAATACAGTATATGTTCTTCTTCATTGTCAGTGACTCTGCTATAAAGCTACTGCCATATTTCTATTCTGAGGGGAGTTAATTTTTAATTTTAATTTACTGTATTTTGTATCTTTAATGAAAATTGGAAAGAAAGATGAATAGTCACATTTCTCAATGACTCACAGAGTCATCAGCAAAATCTTTTCCGTATAAATATTTGGCCCTGCTAACTTTTGCAAGAAACTGTCCAATCAATGCATGAAAAGTCTGAAATGAAATGGAAAACTATAATGAAGCATATTAACGCACCTCACAGTTATAAGAAAATTAGCATATAGCACGGAAAGTGACATTTGGCTTCTGCCTCAACAGCAATGGAGAAGGAGAATAAGAATTCAACTTTTAATAATAGAAATTTAGCAACTGCCAATTAGAGACTCACAGTTATGTCCACAAAAAAAGCTCACACAATTTATCCAGGAAAGAATACAAGCCCTACAGATATAAAATATTCACACTGAATAAATATTATTTTTACTAATCTCTTTCTGTAATAATCTGAAAGCTATAGAAATAGCATTCTGAAAAATATTTGTCTGAAAAAATACCCTAATTTACAGCTTATCTGGACTACTGTGCTGAAAATTAAATTTGTCAGTGCAAGTTTGTTTTTTCATACAGGCTGTTTTTTCATAGAGATTTAGCTCACTCTTTGGTCTAATCTAGCATGATCCTTCTCTTAAATTAAAGCAGAACAAATCTCTGTTGAATGTCCTAGCTTAACAAACCTGTTTCTAACTGAGGCTAAACAGAGACAGAAGCAACAATGAGTTTTTGTTCTTATGATTAAAAATAAAGAAGTTGAAGGACCCGCTCCAGTCGGGCTTCAGGCCGGGGTACAGCACGGAAACGGCATTGGTCACACTGGTGAATGATCTCTGGAGGGCCCGGGACAGGGGTTATTCCTCTGTCCTAGTTCTTTTGGACCTCTCAGCGGCTTTTGATACCGTGGACCACGGTATCATGCTGCGGCGCCTGGTGGAGTTGGGAGTGGGAGGTACCGTTATGTGGTGGTTCTCCTCCTTCCTCACCGACCGTACGCAGTCTGTATTGGCAGGGGGACAGAGGTCGACCCCAAGGCCCCTAACTTGTGGGGTGCCACAAGGGTCGGTCCTCTCTCCCCTATTGTTCAATATTTATGTGAAGCCGCTGGGTGAGATCATCCGTGGCTTTGGGGTGGATTTCCATCAGTACGCTGATGATACTCA